CTCGCCCTTGTCCCTCTCTTGCGTGCTGGCCAACTGGCCACTCGGTTGCCCCGAATTGCCACACGCCGGAGCGCACCGCCTCTGCCCCGCCGCCGACAGGCGAAGTGCGCCTGGGCCCAGGCCACCTCGTCCTTGGCATCGCTCGGACGTGTGCGTTTTTCTTTCGGCGAGGGCCATCGAGGAGCATCCTTGATCATTTGGAAGAAGAAAGAAAAAAAAAAAAAAAACACGCACGAAACCGAAAAAAAACACATGGAACGGACGTCCGAGCGATGGCGAGCGGCAGGGCCCCCTGCGCACGGCGCTCCACGCGCCGGCACCCCTGCGGCAGAAGGCCGCAGCTTACCAGCCTCGAGCTTATCCCTATCCCTAAGATTGATACGCCAAAAGGCGATGAAAATCTTAGGGATCCGCCCTCAAAAGATAAGGGAATCCCTAAGATTGGCATCGTGATGAGGAGATGCCCAGCATAGGGATAGGGATATGTTCCAGGCTGGTAAGCAGCAGCTCTGCACAGTCACACGGGGGAAGGCCACGAGGGGCCCGGGCGGCCACGGTGGGCCGCGAGGGGCCCGCCGGGTTCGGGGGCCTGGCAAAAATCAACCCGGCCCGCAGAAGTTTGAGCCAGCCCAGGAGCCAGAGTTCACAGAGGGTGAGAGGGCCCCTCGTGCTGAGAACAGAGTGAAGGCGTGGCCTCACTGAGGCCCCCGCCTTGCATTAGGGCTAATAGCTCTGGGCGTTGTGGTTTGGCACATCTGCAGAACAGACCCCCTATGCCTAATGAGTTCGGCCCTCCTATCGCAGGTCCCCTCCCAGAGGGTCAGGGGTCCTCTTTTGGTGAATCAAGAGTGGCTTGTTGAGGGAGCCCGAGAGTCAGGCTGGCGCAAGGCCGCCCGGGACTCCTAGAACGCGAGGTTTGCCCGGCCTAGCTCTGCAGAGAGCCAGAGCGGTCAGCGGTGTTAGCCCAGCCAGGGCAGTGCAGGGCCCAGATTGTGTTGCTGGCTTACCGCCTGAAGAGAAAGCAAGCGGGGGCCGTGCCGCGGGGGGGGGGTCAGTTCTAGGCCTCCTAGATGGGGTCGGAGTAGATGGGGTCGGAGGATCGCGCTGCATCGACGATGCGATTCGATGCGGAACCCGATTTTCTCCACGCCGACGTCGCCGATGCGTCTCCGACGTTGCCGATGCATCGCCCATGCATCGCCGATCAGTGGGTGTGGGTTTGACGCGGGTTGAGGAAAGCTGCGTCGTGATTGTGTTGTTTCACCTTTTTCCAGCTGATCGGCGCTTGCTCGTACTGAGAGGCACGGTTGCGCTCGAGGCGCTCGGCTCTGAGACCAGAGCGGCCCAGACTGCGCTCTTTGCTGGCGTGATGTAGCACGGCCATTGGCCACTGCCGGCATCGCAATCGCCATTTATCAGCCCCAAGAAAAGGGAATCCCAAGAGGCCCCCAAGCCGCAAAAGTCGTGTCGCTCCTTTTCGAGAAGGACACATTTTCAACAAAGTCCTTGTCTTCGGTTTCGGAGCATCCAGAAACGCCCCGGCCCAAGAGGGCCCCGAAGGCCCAGGATGAGCCCAAGAGACCCCCAAGATGGCCCCAGCAGAGGCCCAAGATGAGGAACTCGGATGGGGTTCCCCGAGCTCTCCACCCCAAGATGGCCCCAAGAACCCCCAGGAGGCCCACGAGGTGCCCCCCAAAAAGGCCCCAGGATACGTCCAGAGTCCAGAAGGTTTCCAAGAGACCGCCAAGGGCCCCAGCAGCGCATTCAAGAACGCCTCACGGAGTTCCCAAAGTGCTTCCAAGACTGACCCGAGACCCAGCCCATGACCGTGCAAGCGACACCCAATAGACCTGGTCGGGCTGTTGACGTTCACGCCCGTCCTCGGTCGCTTCCGACCCATCGGGGATGGGGCCGCAGGAGTACGGCGCGAAGTCTTGCAGCGACTCGGACGTGCTCACGCTCATGGAGGCGGGAGCCATCGGGCGGCGTGGCCCTCCTCGCGGGCGGGAGAAAACGCACGCATCCACTATTGACTATTGGCATCCTTCCGTTGTGAGACATATCGGAATTCGAGGCTCGACGTTCGAGCTTTTCTGGCGTGTTCGCAGGTTCTCGGCGGCGGATGTCCAGCCCTGGGATGCCTTCCAGCAGCTGCGCCTCCCCCAGGCTGTTCGAGGGTGCCCGGATCCTCCAGAACGGCCTCCTGACTCTCGAGTGATCCGAAACCCGCCTGAACAACAAGATGTCCTCGTACAGGCGGATATCGGAGTAAACATATAAGCAATAGTTAACAAGTGTGCACAATTTTTCAGAAATAACAGAAACATCGTCCTTTTACATTTTTGCTTGTTTTTTATGTTTTGGTTTTCCTCCTGTAGAGGGAATGCCCGATTCTGATTCGAGGAAAGGGTCCAGGCCTTTGAGGATCTACGCTTTCGAACAATCGCAGCACGATGCCCAGACATCCGGCGTGAGGAGGAGGAGGAGGAGGAGGAGGAGG